AAGGAGCAGGAACCATCCCTTTCGATAGAATACCTCTAAATGATGTTATATAATATTAATCCATTAATGGTTTAAAGATCTAAATTAATCAATATTAATACTTCATTCACTTAAGAACACATTTCATTAACCAAAACAAATTCTAGCAAATCTATATAATTTTATGTTAATAAATAATCATCATAATGAATTGTTTAAATTAAAGAATAAAATCTTTTAATACATTTTGGGATCTATCTAATAAAATATATAAATTTTCTTAATCTGATTTTGTTAGAAATGGATCGCTTGTAAAACGAAAGAATAGTTCTCAATAAAGAAATTTATTTCCTCCACGAAACTTTAAATCTTAAATCAGTTTAAAGAAGTCAGTTGTCACATTGTACTTCGTTAAATATTGTTAAGCTTAAACAAACACTATATTATGATTAAGATCAATACAGTTATATTTGCAATATTATATTTGTATTAAGAGTATTTATTATATACTAATTAATTCTATTTGATATTTTCATTTTAATTTTAAATTTAAACGATCAAGAAATATTCTTTTCTAATTGAAATTTGTCTAAAATATTTTTTGAAATAATATTAAGTAATACATTCTATCTAGATATTTCGTTTTATATAATTTCATCTGAATTATGTCTTAGTAATCCTATCATTAAATCATATGCCATATAGTATCTTTTTTGGTAATACAATATTAATAATATAAATAATAGAATAAAAACAAAAACAAAACAAGTCAATAGAATTGGCCATTTTAAATAAATTTAATTACATTTCTATTAAGAATACACTTTTATGACACTAGTTAAATTTTCACAAGTATTTTACATAATTAAATAATTTGCCAAAGAAAATCTAAAAGGGTTGACCACAAATTGCTCTATTAAATTAATAAGCAGACAATTATTATTATTATTGTTAATATTAAAGCATATAGTAAATTTGAAATTCAAATTATCAATAATAAAAGGTTATAGATGATTAAACATTAATTATTATTGCAAGTATTTATAGAATGTATCTCTAAATGTTACTTCTTAAGAATATAAAACAGATGAATTTTCTCCCTAAACCAAACTGGTATGTTTACATCATTTAAAAAGTATGCTAAATAAGGATTTGTTAATTAAGTATAAAAATTTTCTTTTAGTTCTTAATAACCTAATTATAGGTACTATAAAAAAGGAGCTGTTAGAACTTATAGTTCATAAAGTAGTAATAAATCTTCTCTATATTGTATTTAATAAGATGTTATAGTGACTCTTATTGAAAAAAAAAGGAATCATGAGGACCCATTATACTTGCATGTAGTTACAACATTTCAATTTATTCAATTAAAAGATTTAAATCACTATTAAATTCTTACATTAAAAAATAGGTATAATTAAAAAGTACAATAAAAGCAAGAAAGTATATATTAATAGGTGGAAAAAATCAATTGGTTTAGAATTTTACATAATTCTTTGGATTATGTCATACTTTTTCCATAAACTTTATTTAGAGATATCATTCAAAGTTTTAGTTTTTGTTTATTTAACTTACTTTTTGTAAATTAAGAAACTATTTATTCATAAGCAATCTTTATTTTGATCTTCATGGCAAAAATATTATTATCTCTAATCATGGTGAATATAATTTTTGATAATGTAAAAATATTTACAAATACTATTATCTGTTGTAAAGCCATTCCATCCCTCAATTAAATGAATGCATTATAGAAAGACCTGGAACTCTAAGCGATTGTTTCTCATCTCAAGTTTATCTTGTCACAGAAAAAACTATTTCAGAAAAGTCATGGATTTTAGGAGTGTTTTTGGAAATGTCCTTATTAATATGGGAATAAATATGTAGAAGAGCTTTTCTATGTCTACCTTAAACATTCTAAACTATTATTTTCGTACTCTTGGAAGCATAATTTATACTTTTAGTAAATTGATTAGTTTTAGCGGAACATGATTGGTTTCAAATTCTATTTTCTCCTCTATTATAACACATATAATCTACAGTTTATGCGAGCTTAAGAAAATGTATAAGCAAACAGACACTATTCTTAGGTTAATATTTCTCATTTTTTACTATAATAACTCTATGTATATTGATTTTATTTATTTAATTAAATATGATTGGTAGTGGAAATGGATATAAAAAACCAACAAGTTAAAATGAATAAACAACAGATAAATTGATCTATTAGGGTTTATATTTATTAATTATTGTTAAGTCTTGAATGTGAATGTTATGGATAACGAGCGAAAGCATAATATTTGGGTTTTAATTGCAAAAATTAGCTCCTAAAATTAAATTATACATATTGGAATGATTATTTATTATGATTATTCTTTATAGATAACCTCACTAATTTTCGCATCAAATAAATGTCATATTGAGCTTATATCACTATTATTATTTGTTTTCGTTAATTTAGTCTCTTGAATATTAATTTTCTCAAAAGTTTTTCTTAAGCAAAGATTAAAAGTAATAAAAATTTCTTACAAAACTTAATCTAAAGTAATATAATAGAAAAGAATGCCAATAAACAACATTTATTGGCTTAAAATTCTTTAAATTATTTTTTTATAAATTAATTTCATTTTATTCTTTTAGAGTAAGAACCATTAGTGTCTTTTTGAATCTAATACACTAGAAAATCAATTAAATGCAATTTTTATTGGTATTTTTATAATAGACTTTACAATAATATTAATCCAATCAAATTTCTAACTTGTTAATATTCAAATGATAAATTATCAAATATATCGAAAAGTTTTATTACAATAATTAAAACAGATTATCTTGATTGATTCAGTTTTAACGGTTTGCTTTGAAGCTATTAGATGTTTTATAGATAATGTGTCCATAGTCATTTGATCAAAATAAAAATGTTTAAACTTAAAAATAATTTATTATCAAGTTAAACCAAACATATCCTAAAATAAATTTATAATATTTTATACAAGTATTTAAACATTAGTGTTCTAGATCTTCCCTTTCCATGGCAAATAGCTTAAACTTTTTTATATGAATTATTTAATGAATTATATTGTTGATTTCTAATACCCTAGTACAGTATAATACTAACTCTAAAGTAAATAACAAATAATAATTAATCTAAATCAGAATTTAAAATACTAATATAATTATTCTTAGTTAAATTCTTTGTTTCATAAATTTAAATACAATAATGAACTTATCTATGTGATGCCGCAGACATATAAAATTACCCTTCTAAATGACATTCTGCTATTTTTTAATAAATTACTTAATTCTAGAATATTGGTTGATGATGGTGTTGTTTTGTAACAATAACGATGCAAATTATGGGTCAAGACTATTTCATATATGTATTTAGATGCAACAAAAGAATAAAAGAGATTTACTATTATTAATTCTGCAAAATGATTAATTTAATTAAAATTAAAATTAATTTATAATTTTTTAGAAAAGTTGATATTCTTGTTTGAAAATGTTGATATTGCAATTGATAATGGTGCTATTAGTACTCAGTGAAGGGTTTTAGTATTTCATGTATTTGAGGATAATATGTTAGGTTTGGAATCTATTAGAATGGATTCAAGAAAAATAATAATTGATCAATTTTTTTAGATTCAATTTAAAATAAACATAATTAAATAAATTTAAACATTATATTAATCTTCTTTGGTATTTAGTAATATTTATATATTTCATTATAAATGAAACTCTTTTAAATATTATAATTTTTTCAATTTTATTTAATCTTTTTCAGGTATTACTCATTATTGTATTTTATATCAGTTGTTTCAAATATGAATTAATTATTTAGTCTTTCACAACTCTTCATCTTAACCAATAATTTCTGTATTGGAGTATTACTAAAATATATAAAGTTTAAAACACAATATATCAATTTATAAAGTTTTCAAATTTTATAATATGCTGAGATTTTTAATACTTCCTTAGATATTTAGTTAATTTAGAGAGAAATTATTATAGGAAAATTGCTACTTATATAAATAATTGATTAAAGATAATACTCCTGAAAATGGATAAATTATCACACCGATTTATTAGTTTTCTCAAAAAAAGCAGTAGAATATCATAAAGAACCAAATTATAATAAGAAATAATTTAATCAGAATTACATAAATGTCAATTTAAACAGTAATTATTAAATTCTCAAAATAATGAGAGGAGAGAAAAAGTTCTTAAAAGATATATCAATTAGGTAAACCATCAACTTAAAAAAAGATAGGACAACTGAGGAAATTGAATATGAGAAGTAATAAGAATAATGTAAATTCTAGCCAGATTTGTTAACTAAGACAAGTTAATATAATTAGGTTAATAAATAATATAATATTAATAAATGAAGTATAATAAAACTCAGATAGTCATTAAAATGCATAAGGACGTTAATAATGCTTTTTAAAAAA